CTCTATCTTAGTTTATCTCATCAATAGATTGTCTTCATTAACTAATCCAAATGAAAGTTCATATTCATTATTATTTGGAAAAGAACCTGACTATGGCCTATTATCCTTGACTCAAACCATACAATTATTACAAAATTCAATTCTAGACTACGTAGTGTGTGTTCTTGGGATACATCAAATCTCACAATGGATATAAGTGCATCAACTCCCATGGAAGAATTTTTGTCTCAAGACATGTGGTCTTCAATGAGAACCACTTTCCATTTCATGATGACTTTCTTAACACAAGAAATTCATTAAAAACTCTAACTAGAATAGTATATATTGTTCTTCTATCTTGTCTGGTACCACTACAAGTCACACATTTGTATAAATTAACAGTGAGGTGAACCATCAGGAAGGTGACTTAGTTGCCAATGAAGATCAAGCAACTCTCAATGACTTAGCTGCCAATGAGAATCAACCAACGTTTAGTGATATCTCTATCAATGCAGATAAGGCAACCTTACATGCAAATGAAACACCAATTGTAGAAGGCCCAGTTGAGGACACACCAGTAAACACACCAAAAGACAATAACCAACAGATCCAGCAGAATAACATGCACTGGATGCAAACGAAAAGCAAGGCAGGGATCTACAAGCCACAACTACCCTATATAGGGCTAATACACAGAGGATAAGGAACCAAAAAATGTCAATGAAGCACTAGTCAATCTAAGATGGAAAGCAGCCATGGATGCAGAATTTAAAGCTCTAGCAGTTAATCACACTTGGACATTAGTACCATTTTATGGGAAAAATAACATCATAAACTCAAAGTAGGTCTTTAAGACTAAGTACAAGGTAAATGGCTCAATTGAGAGAAGGAAAGGAAGATTGGTTGTTAAAGGTTTTCAACAAACTGTAGGTCTAGACTATGATGAGACCTTCAGTCCAGTTATCAAACCCAACTATATAAGAATTCTCCTATCCATTGCAGTACATTTAAATTGGGAAGTTAGGCAATTAGACATAAACAATGCATTCTTGAATGACAACCTCAAAGAAATTGTGTTTATGCATCAATCTGAAGGATATACAAATTTAACCAATCTTAATCACATATGCAAATTAAACAAGGTAATTTATGGCTTGAAGCAAGCCTTAAGGGCTTGATAGGTTAAAGGATACTCTACTAGAATGACACCAAGAGTGATTCATCATTGTGTGTCTTTAGTGGAACTGACAATATCATACTCTTCTCATATATGTTGATGACATTAATAGTAACAGGTACATCATTCACTGTTGAAGGAGAACCTATTGTTAACTCTATACTATATAGACAGGTTATAGGTGCATTACAGTATCTAACCAACACTCGATCAAACATAGCATTTTCTGTCAATAAATTCAGCCAATATGAGTTTCCCAACCACAGATCATTGGCAAGGAATAAAAAGAATACTGAGATATCTCCATGGCATAACAAATTTATGTTTTCATATCAAACCCTCAACTGATCTTGATATTGTTGGATTCTCTGATGGAGATTGGGCTATTAGCATAGATGATAGGAAATCCATGGTCGGGTAGTATGTGTTTCTTAGAGAGACATTAATCTCGTGAGCCTTAAGAAAACAAAAAGTGATGTCACGATCAAGTACTGAGTCAGAATACAGAGCTTTGACTGGCTTAGCAGCAGAAGTAGCTTGGATAATATCACTTCTAGGTGAGCTAAAACTTCCTATGTCCAAAAAACCAATTTTGTGGTGTGATAACTTGAGTGTCAAGGCATTGACATCCAATCCAGTGATGTGTGCTCGATCCAAACATATTGAGATGGATATTCACTAAATGCTTGATCAAGTACTTCAAAATTAAGTCATAATAGTTTATATGCCCACAATAGATCAAATTGCAAATTGTAAATTGAGATACAAACTTGGGACGACTATATCACCATCAGTTTGAGAGGAGTTAGAGAAAGTTATAATTCTAATAATTGTGTTAATATTTTGTTATTAATATCCCTGATATTATGTCATTATTTTGTCTATGTAATGTGTAACTATCATGATCAATTTTTTTTCTTATATTTGTTTATTATAATTACCGATAACTTTATTATAGGAACACAATTGTACTATGTATAAACACAGCCTGTAATATGAATAATTAAGTAATTTTTTACACATTTATCTTTCTCTTGACCCCATCACAAAAATGTTATTGGTACTAAATGGGTATTTAATTAAACCAATATAAACACATATGATTCAATTAATCAACTCAAGGTCAGACTTCTAATGAAGGGATATGCTCAAGTATTTGGAGTTGATTTCTCTGAAACATTTGCTCTTGTTGCTTAACTTGATATAATTATGTTAGTTCTTTCTTTTACAACACAAAAATTTTTGGACAATATTTTAACTGGATGTAAAATATGTTTTATTAATGGTTATTTAGGAAAATATATATGTTCACTAACATGGAGGTTTTTTAATTAAAGGAAAAGAAGATAAGTTTATTCGCTCATCAAAATTTTATATGATTTGAAACAAGTGTCAACAACTTATTACAATAAGATTGATGGACATTTGCTATGTTTTAACTCTTTAAAAAGTCTTAGTGAGTTAACTCTCTATTTGTAAAGCTTGGATTATGAAATTGTAACTCTATACATTGATGATATTTCCGTAACAAGAAGAAATATTGCATTTGCTGAATAATTAAAGCAAAACATGATTTTTTTGTTTACATGATGGAGAACGTGAAAATTTATTTTCTTTCTTGTCATGGAAGTCAAATAAGATGATATAGATTTTTTGTTAGCAAAATAAATATGCAAAAGAAATAATGGAGAACTCTAAATCTATAAGTACTCCAATGTTTCAAAAGGTGAAACTTTCCAAAGAAAATGGTGTAGGAAAAGTTAACGAGACTAATTTTATAAATAAATATAACAATCTAATATATCATACAACAATAATATCTAATATTATACAAGTTATAAATATGCTTTCAAGATTCATATATACATTATGAAAATAAAGTATATTTTCAAGTCAATAAACATGTATTAAGATATGTCAAATGTGATTAAGAATTTAAATTTGTGATTTTTTTAAAGTGATTAGGGAAGTTTATGGAATAATTAAAAAACTATTATTTTATACTTGGTTTTAGAGTATTTGCATGAACTTTCTAAATAAAATATAATGACACAACTCCATAAAAAAAATCGACTTTATTATAGTTATAAAGAAGGAAAGTTAAAAGAAAAAAAATTATAATTATAAAGAGATAATGACTTTATTAAAAAAAATGAATATTTTATTTTTAATTTAATTGGTAAAATTTTAAATTTTATCCCTATTAAATCACTTTTATTTTTAACTAAGTTAAATTAGGTTCTCACATGTTCAATGAAAAGAATATAAAATATATTAAATTAATTATTTTATATTTATGGCAGTTTATAAAAATAAAATATAATGTAGGTTACATTTGAAAGATGATACTTTTCTTTGTCGGATTTCAATATTATGACAGATTATAAAGTCAAATAAAGATAACTAAATGTGTTACTTTGTAACAAACATAAGCCTAAGAGGGGAACCATCCCTCAAAAGCTAGCTCAAGAGGTTACCTTATAAGGCCTCCCAAGCCAGCGTCCTCAATGGCTACACTCCACGACACTTTACTCACGGCCTTCTTACCGGTCAGAACCCTCCAGTGGTCAGAACCCTCCGTGGGTAGCCCTTCTCGAGTTGGCTGGCTCTCAATGAAAGCACCATTGTAACAATCATAAAACTAAAAGGGGAACCATCCCTCAAAAGCTAGCTCAAGAGGTTAGAGAACCTCCTACTTTATAAGATCTCCCTAGTAAGGAGACCTTCCCAATACGGGACTTGTTACGTACTTCCACCAACATCCTATAATACTTCCACCAACATCCTATAAACTAAAGAAAAAAAATATTTATGTGAGACTCTCTTTTTATCCCTCAACTAAAAAAAAATGGAGACATTATACTTTGTTCGTTTTCTTATAACCGAAAAAGTAAATCAATTACTTTCTTCCCATTCATTTTTCTACCTGATTACTTTTCACAAACACGTTACACCTTCTACTAAATGATACAATAATTTTTAGATACAAATTAACACGAGTCCCCGTACATATGACCTGTGTCCATATCCACGAGTTTGTAATCGGAAAATCCATGGAAAAGAAATCCCGAACAAGGTTTTGGTAATTTATTAATTGGGATGATAGTAACATGCTCTATGAATCTCAAGTTAAGAAGTAACATAGGATCATTTATCAATCTCTAACATCCACATGTAGTACGTATTCTCCCTGATCAATTGAAAATAGATCAATAGGTTACCGGCATTGAATTTTTGTAAATTATTCATTGCACGGCATTACACTGTGGAAGTAGAAGTAGTCGCAATTGCATTGAAGTGAAGGCAACAAATGGCAGATAGGACGCACACAGTTGTTTAAAAAGACGGTCCAACTAATAAAAACCCGATCTTTCCGCCTCAAAGGGCTCTCTATCAGAACCCCCAACAGCCACTGGACCCACCACCCCTTCACCACTCTGTCCTAGTATTGACCTAATTCTTGACCTTTAACCTAGGACTCATCTCAATTTATGTTGTCTGTTTTTTTCCTCTCCTTAAGACAGCACTTTTAAAACCTTCTCAGTGCCATTTGGAAGCACACACATAGAGTCTACTCTTCCCTTGTCCAAGTAATCATTGAATCCCTTCCCCCCAGTGACAACCATAATTGCAACTCATTAAAATCCAACCTTACCTATCTCATCATTTTCATTCATCATCATCCCACACAAATATAATATCTGCCCTTATCATGCCTCTCCTCCCTCCATCACGTGACAGTAATCACACCGACTGCAACATCATCAACGGACCAGATTTAAAGCCACAAGTCAAGCTCATTCCCTGTGAATTTCGATCCTTCACAACTTCACTCCCTAACACCATGCTTCAACACGACAACAAATTCGACTTCTCCGGCATTGCTTCTGTTCATTTGGATTCGGTATATTTGCTAATTCTCTACTATGCCAGCATGTCAAAATTTAAAAATCTTGTTTCTGGCCATGGCCTTAACATGTTTTTTTTTCTAATGATGAAGCTATGGGACTCATATAGTCTGTCGTCAACTTTGAGCTCAATTCAGGGGAGTCCTGAAGGTTCTTCTTCTCGGGAACCATCGCCTACCAGCCATGAATTTTGTTGGGAAAGCGCCTATGATATGATAGAGATGTTAGAGAAGATGAAGCTTGACGAAAGGGAAAGTCCTGAATACCACCCTGGTTATGGGAATCAGAGGTTGGAGACCTCAAATTTTGGAGTCCACTCTCTCCTTCAGGAACAAATTCGACCTATTCAAGTGAGATAATGACTCTCATTTTTCTTTTTGCTAAGGCCATATAACGAAGAAGAAATCGAAAAGCATTAACCTTTCAGTTAAAATTAATCCCAGCATCCAAGTTCTGTCGTCAAACTTCTTCAGTTTAACTCAAATTCCATTCCAACATCATAGTTTTCAGTTGTTCGTTTCTTTATTGTAGTTGTCTCGGATCAGACAAGAACAGATTCTGTCTCAGAAGCAAAATCCAACAGCATATAGGGGAAAAATTCAGGCGCAGATATCACAGCAATTTCAAAAAAAAGGTAAAGGGGTTAATGTTGGGTGTGATAACGGAAGAGGGATTCGTCCACCATGGCACGCTTGTTCACACCACCAAACTGGTTCAAGAAGCTCATATTCTGGCACTGGTGTGTTCTTGCCGCGTGGCGAAACTAGTGCCCCGTTCGAGTCACGTAAGAGACCAGGTAGTGTTTCAGTTCCTTTAACATTTTGGCGCTTCTTCGTTTTTGAGTCAAGTTGTTTGTTCACTGATCGACTTATTTAACATTCCAACAAATTTACATTTTTCAACTGTTTTTACTTACTGTTTTGTGACTAATTATCTGGCTAGAGTGCTTCCTTTAACCAAATATTCTTCACTGTTTAAATCAGAAGTTTCTCCAATTCATCTCCTATTTGGTCCACATGTTTGACATTTCGGATGTTCCTTTTGTCTGAAGTAAAAAGTCAACTAAGAAAGATATTAAGAAATTAAGATTTTGTTTGATTGTTTGTGATTTGAATAGGTAAAGGATGCTCCACAGTTCTTATACCGGCGAGAGTGGTACAGGCTTTGCAACTCCACTTTGAGCAAATGGCTGCCACGTCCGGGCCTAAACCTGGTGGCTTCCCTCCCCTACATGGTACCTTATCTATCAACTGTAACTTAATTGTGTTTTACGTACTCATAAATTATAGTTATTAGTCAATAGTTATTGTTGACTTTGATCAATTGTGCTATTAAATATGTTTGAATAACCAACTTATTATTGCTAGGTCATTGGAATATGCAAATCTAGCCAAGTGAGGTTTCTATGTTATTGTTATGTTTGCAGATATTTTAGTGAGTAACAGGGATGGCATGTATTCACTACAAAAGCGTCCATCACGGAACAAACCTGCACATATCCAGAATGAGATGGTTCTGCCTCAAGAATGGACTTACTGAGCATCCAACACTTTCATGATTAATGGTCTTGGAGGCTTATGCAAGAGAAACGAATAAATGGGAAATTATTTTTAAGTGGATTGAATGACCGAGTCAATAGTGCATGTACCTTTTGGGGATAAGTCTACTAGTCTATTATAGTGCTTAGTGATCAAGGATCATGCAGAAATAAAATAAAAAAATGAAACATTGTATAAAAGGGGACAAGTATTATCCATAATTTGGGCTTAATCTCTCTTGTTTAATGTCATCATATTTCTTTCTTCATTTGTTTAACCCTTGCAGTCCTAATAAACAATCTCCTGCTCAATCATGGTTAGCACTGTAGAAAATGTAAAATCATGGTCCATGAATGGCGGAAAGAAGGGTCCCTCGTTTGATAGTGAAACCCTGACTTAGCTATTTATACCCTTTGTCATTTTTCGGACTTTCAAGATGTGTTAAGAAATTTGAGACCAACAATATATACACCTATATATCCTGTATATTATACCTTCGTTTCTTTGTGGAGCTATTTAGAAAACAAAGCATTGAAAGAGTATAATATGTCTAAAAATGTCACTATTTTACATAAACATTTCATATATAAAAATTTATATACATCACTTAAGTTGATAAATAAATAAATACAAGCTATATATTTGGCCAGAATCCTTTTAGAAACATAAGTTAGGACTACAAAATTGGTGGCCTACAGTTAATTTGACTTATCCTAAAACTTTATTTGTACATTGTGGTTGACAGACCAAAATTGATAGTTTCAGTTATCATAGAAAGACATAAGTGATGGAGTTTAGAAATAATTCTTTTTTTATCTCCTCATTTATTTATTTTTTTAATTTATTAATTAAGATAAATTGTTATTTTATATTATTAATTATAAAACATGATTGATTATGATGAACATAAATGATTGATAAAGAATAACTTTTTTACTTTTACTCTTATAATAAAAGTTATTATTCATCTTTTCTATTACTTTTTTTAATTTAATAATTAAAAAATTTATGAAAAAATAATTATAAGATGAAGAATAAATATATTTATTTATTTTCAAAAAATAGTTTTCAATATTTTAATTTAAAAAATGAAAAACTTATTTTATAATCGTTTTGTTGAAAAATATTTTGAAAACTAATTTTGTTTTTTAATTTTTAAAAATTAAAATTGATAAAATATATTTTTTATTAATAAATATCATTTTTTCAATAATTATATTATATCACTTTATTTTTATTACCATAAAATTATCAAATTTATTTTTCAATTTTCACCGTCTATGATGATGTATATTATATTTGTTTAAAATAATTTTCAAAATTAAAATTATTAAACAACTTTTTTAATTTATTTTCAAAAACAGTTTTTTTTTAACATTTTTAATTTCTAAAATATGGTTTTTAAAAATTAAAAAAAAACTAAATCAAAATCCTTCAATTTCTAAGTCTGGTTTTTAAGGTAGATACATCTCTCCTTTTATATATATGAAACATTATGTATGATACAATACATTATTAATTTGTTCTCTTATTCTAGTTCAAAATAAAAATATTTTGATAATCATAGATTTAGATAATTAAGACTACTTAATTTATTGTATATTTAATTTTTTTTAATTCATTAATATTTAAATTGAAAAACAAATAAAATGGTATGCAAATTAAACTAAGGTTTAAATATATTTATAATTAATTTACAGTTAGTGAATTTTAATTTTAGCTCATAGATATTATTGTTTCTATCTTTTAAAAATGTTGAAATTTAATTTTTATTCATATGATGTATTTAAAAAAATTAGATTTATAAAATAAATTTGAATTATATACCTTAAAATCAGAGGACAACAAAACTTTATATTTGTCGGACTAGAATAATAGAAAAATGTTTTATAAAATTAGAAATAATTTTTTTTTCAAGGTTGAGAATTTTTTAAAAATAAAATATATATTTAATCTTCGTAAATATAAAATATATGAATATTTCTTTTATTAGTTCAATTATTATAAAATTAAAATTATTTTTGGATCCAATTTTTTAACTCTCAGTCATAATCATGGACGTGATGGATGATAATATGACGCGATTTTTGAATAAAAAACGCATTTTTTATTTAATCTTTTGCATACCCTCTTGTCTTTTCCATTTACCATTTGACCTCCTTCACCATTGCTGTCTTTCCAACCTCCACTTTCCTCGCTCCTCTCCTCTCCCCACAATTTAAAAATTTTACGATGCATAATTCTAAAAGGAAGAAACCGTGTAATCTAAAATGACTTTAAGAAAAAATCGTACTAAATAGTAAATTTTTGTGTAATTTTTTTTTATTCAAACTCATACAATATAACGCAACTTTGACATAAAAAATCATACAAGAATTATGCAAGATAGGACGACTTCACGTATGACAAGAATTTCTTTTTTTTTTTTAAATAAAATTGTGTCACATTTCAATAACTAAAGTTGTATTAAGTATAACGATTTAGACCATTTTTTTTATGTTCATCATTCTACATAAGATGAATTATAATTAAAGTCGTATTATATAATATATCTTTAATATAACAGAATTTTTTTAGATAAATATTTTCTTCCAAATATTAATACTTTATTTATTTTATATATATATATATATATATATATATATATATATATATATATTATAAGTTATAAATTTATTATATTTATATACAATTATTTTTTATATAAATTTTGTATAAGTAATATATAAATAATAATGTTATTATAAATTTAAGTTATATTTTTTAAGTTTAAAATTTATTATATTATTTATTTTAAACAAAAAGATAAATATTTGTTAAGAGGAGTGAAAAAAAATGCAAATGTGTATTTTACGTTAAATAAAATAAAAATAAAACATTAGAAGTAGTTTCCAATAAATTAAAATGTGAAATTATTTTATAGTAAATATTTTTTCGGTCTTGCAATTGGTTGATCTATCTTATTCTAAATGCAAGTAGTGGTAGGTCTTCTTGATTTTCCTTGTCAAATATTAGGTTCAAAAACTAAATTCACACCTATAGAAGCACAAAAATAAATTTTATTTTGAATCATATGAAATTAAAACTCATAAGTCTTATGTTCTTTTTTTCTTGTAGACCAAATTGATAAATATGCCTAGTTGAAAGTAGTAGAAGGAACATACAATGATAACATGATAATAAGAAAGTCGAAGATATTGAAATTTTCGATAGTCATACTACCATTGGTTTAATCTAAATGTGTAGTCAATTGTTCTTCAATAATGTTGGAGATTTGATAAGTCTTATATATGAAACTCAAAATCTTATCGGTTGTACTTTTTGAACATGACACATTCTAACACATTGTTCATTTTTTCTAAGTAGTGTAATAATATCTTTTGAATATTCTTGTCATGCTCGTAATATATACTTTATTTTTATACCTCATTCTAAACAAAGATTTGATTATTTTAAACGTGATTTTAATTAAGGCGGTATAAGTAAGGTTTGTGCTCATTTGATAACATAATTCATACATTCATATCACATGTCTCCATCATAGACTTGAGTCTATTTTTCCAATTGAATTTCATCCAACTAGAACAATTATTGTTAAAATTTGAACCTTATTATAGATAATTTACCAAACGTGTTGGATGTTTTATTTCATATCTTATAACAAAAATATAAGTTAATAAATATGTTTTATAGAAATAATATTAAGGTTAGAACATGTTGCTTAGGTTGATGACTTGTTTGTTCAATCTAACAATTTTAATTTTTTTTTTGTTGAAGTTTGAGATAACATGAGAAACATAATACATTGAAGTTATATAGTTTCAACCAAGATCTTCAAATTATAAAGTTGATAATATTCATGTTCCTCTATGTGTTATCATACATAAATTGTCTTAAGATGTAACATAATGTCTCAAAAGTTGAAAGAATTGTACCAATGTCTCTTTTGTCTCACCTTCAACAATTGTAAATGTAAGAGGAAATATGTTTTAATTGTCATCTTGTATCGTTACTATAAAGAAGGTAATATGATATTTTTGTGTTAAGAATGTGACATCAAATTGAATAATTGGCTTGCAATATTTCAAACCTTTAATGCATGACTTAAATGATCAGAATATATGTGCTAATATATATTATGTACTACGCACACCACACACTGAATAAAGAGAATCGATGTATTGAACAATTATGTCAGAATTACTATCTTTAGCATATTGCAATCATCTTCAAAGATTATTGTATGATTCTTCCTAATCTTCAAATGTCATAAAAAGTGCCTTTTGTTTTACTTGTTGGAAAAACAATAATAATAATAATAATAATAATAATAATAATAATAATAATAATAATAATCCTGATTTTGATTCTAACGATCAAACATAAACCTAATCCCATACTGATAAATATGCTGTAAACTGAATGCGAAAGCGTACCTGAATTAGCCATAACGATGATGTCTTTGTAGAGCACTATATTGATCTTATGGTCTTCCACCTGAAGAGCACCTGTATTTCCCTCTTGATTTTCTCTCTTGATGGGGATAGAAAGAAAGGAACGAGACTGATACTTACGTTCTGTGTGTGCTCCCAGAAGGGGACCACGACCCCTTAAAATAACCAGAATTAGGTTAATTACTTAAGTTTTAGTATTTCCAATTTGGCCCCTCATCAAATTAGAAATTGTTCTATGGTCTCTACACAATTTTATTTTCATGACATATGCCTTTAGCCAAAACTTTAATTTAGTCAGATCACTTTATTATTTGGCTTAATAAATAATGACCCTAACACATTTAAATATATATCATATATATACATGACCCAAATTTTGCCAACAATCTCCCACTGGTCACAAATATATATGTCTTTACAACCTTACAAATGTGTTAGACTTTATGAGCTCAAAATTGTCATTATATTCCTTTAGCATACTCCAAAAGTCCTGTTCATTAATCATATCAGGATATAGAACCAAACCAGCTTTTCATTGCATCATCGC